GCCTTAGTGGTACTTATGTCATGTCAATCCTTAATTTAAAAAAAAAAAAAAGTCTTAAAAGGGAAAACAAAGCAAGCAATTAACTGAACCCAAAGCACGCCTGAAAATTTAGTTTGAGTTAAACAAACAAGAAAGCTATAATAGTAAAGGCCATCTACCACATACTTACTGTAAGCAATGCCTCACTTATTCTAAATATAAGTCAAATGCTTGGTTTGTTTTTAAGCTTCTTGCAGTATGAAACACCACTCTGTAGGAAGCTGCAAAACCAAGCTGAATGCTGCATCTAGAACTCAAAGGTCTCTCAATTCAGGAATTCTTGTCATTATGAAGTCTTTAAAAAAAATCTACATTAAAAAAGAGTTAGATAATTTATTATTTTCCAAATAAGAATCCAATCATTCTGAAGAGGTGAAAATAACTTCATATTCATGTATGACACTGATCCATGAAGATAACTTGTAATCCTAGATCCCTAAAGTAAAAAAGTTACCATGCAACACTAGACAAGTGCAACAGCAAAATAGGAAACATGAAATGACAGTGCTATTGTAGCGCTAACTTCTTTTACCATTACGATTACACTCTAACTTTGAATAGAAGAACTAACATAGAGAAAAGCCCCTAGCCCTGCAATATGGTGTCTTAATCAGCTGCACAGTGAGCATGAGAGCCTTGGCTAGCAAACCRCAATGCTAGAAATGACAACCAGCAACGGAGTATATTTTGAAAGCAACTGAATTTATACAGGTTTAATTTATCTGCGAGTAGTGACTTAGCCTCACTACTCACCATCGTGACGGGAACACACCCCACAGATCAAGCAGCACGTAACTGAAGATCAACTCAAGACAACTCCAARGAAAACAGACCTGACAAGTGTCTGGAGTTACGCAACCTGCTTGCTAACCAGTTCCGTACTTCTCACCCCGTCAGCCCTGGATCCTCACTCAYTCCTACCACAATACCCTGACCTCTCTCCTTGGCTCCCAGATCCCACAGACCACCTGCAGCCCCCAGGAAAGAGGCCCAGGCTGCAGGGTGAACACACCTGCGTGCTGGGCTCAAAGGCGCCCACCAAAAGGGAGCTTCCTTTCCCCATCACAAGATGGGCTGCAGCTGGACACACAACATAAGGTACTAGTGTTGGGCAAAGTAGGGAAAAGAACAGCTAGGCAGAGGAGGGCTGGGAGCTATTTCAGAGAATCAGATAGGTCTRAGATAAAAATTTTCACTAATATATCCTTAAAACCATCCCTACCAAATTGTAGATCCAGTTGTCTGTCAAAGTTGTATGTGCATGCACACACAAAAGAAAAARAATGGGTGGTGGCTCCAATTAGATCAGGTATATACACACTTAAGTGACAAATCTTGAGGACTATGTGTGATTGCACCCAACAAGAACACAGAAGAACTAGGAAGTATGCAGAGATGATCAACAGGATGATCAAAGACAAGGAAGACTTCCTAGCCAGGACAGGCTCAATTATTCTAAAGGGAAGAAAAACAGAGGGGGTTAGTGACAGAGGTCTTAAAAAAGAAGAGGGCTTGACCTTCACTGTATGAGCCAAGAACTGAGATGTATCCAAAGAAACTAAGTGGTATAGATCCAGAACACACAAATAAAGGTGGTTTCTGATCACCAGCATGTCATTACATTGCTGAAGTCCTCACCAGATGAAGCTCGGCTACCAAAAATGTGTATGGTACAGAAAGCAACCAGATAAATTCCTGTGAGAAAAGCCATCAAGAGGAATTACAAAGACAGCASTGTCTCCACAATCACGGGAAGGTCCTCTATATTAGTTCACCCTAAAAGCCCCCAAGGCCACAAGCAGAAGGAAGCTGCGGGAGCAGAAGGAGCTGCCAAGGGCTGCTTGCCCTGGCAAACCCCTTAAGAAGGCTGATCTAATTCAGTTCACTCCTTTAATTTTACTGTGCATAATTTTTAAAATAAGCATGACTAAACTGTATTTTCTAGGTGTTTTTTAAAACTTACAGGTAGGAAATATTAACTTACACTTTCAGTAGGTTAGCGTGCAGAGTAATATATTACCACATAACTACCACAACCAGTATAAAGGTTCAGAAAGAATGACGCTTCTCTGGCACTTCCTCAGGCTGCCCAGGATTGCACAACGTTGGGCACGAGCACCCACGAGGACCTTCCCACTCGCCTGGCCTGCTCCTTGGTGCCACTCTGCCTTCCATGGGGACACAGGAGGGCTCCTGATCCGTCTGCACCTCGCTCCACACCAGCTTCCCATTCAAACAAAATAGGTAGAGCACTATATTCCAGTTATATCATTCCTTTTTTTAAATGGTTAAGTCATTGTCCCAAACATGCTACAGATGATGTTGTGGAAAAAAAATAATGGAAATATATTACAATTATGTTATAGGAAAATATACTCCTTTAAGTTGTATTTTAGTAACAAGAGTGTTATATTTACCATAGAGCTTCAAYTTCATTCTTGCCTAACATAAACAAGCTAATTTCCTATTGAACAGGCAAGTCACTCTGATGGAYTGACTGCTAAACTGCTTTCCATTTCCTCTGTTTTTCCTTTCTGTTATGTTCTAGGCAAACAAATAAAGCAAAACTGGTGAAATTGCTGTACAGGCCAACTCCTCAACTAAATCTGCAAGAATTCTTCATCAAGGAGCTGGGCTAGAACAACACACCAGACTGAAAAACTCCWTCTCTGAACAGGATCAAGTGTTTTGAAATCAAAATACACTGAATCCTGTAAAATTACTTGTTTTTTACTATTGCAGCAGCAGTGTTGGAAGTGCAGCTGTGGTTTTCACTTCTTTTACTTGTTGCTCAAGGCCACGCCCTATTCAAGGCACAGTTGCATGAGGATATAAGGTTTTGTTTGAAAAGCTTAGAAGATGTCCCTGATCCTCCTGGTTGCAGAGGAAGCTCTGAAAATAAACTCTACAGATTAAAAAATGAGGCCAAAGTAAATTCCAAAATTTACTTTTTTTAAAAAATAAATTATTTTTATTATTCATAATTTCCATGCCTGAAGCTCCTCTCCTAATCTTCACTGCACAAAAATAAGAGCTAGACAGCAGGGTTATTTAACTAGTGTCCTACTTTGGAATTTCAGATTTTAGTAAACTACTCCCTCAAAACTATTTTATTTTAGGAATCAGAAGCTTTGTGCAATATCTGCAGTTTTTGCACMTTACCAGTCAGCAACTATTTGTGCTGAAATAACTGAAATAATTCCACTCCAGAAGAACTCCTTAAAGACTCCACCAACAAAACACTTCAGCCACTCAGGTTAACTCTTGTTTCTGAGAGTAAATAGCAACTTCACACAGCTACCAAGGACAGGATATCAGGAATACCAGACTCAAACTGTACTTGCAGGGGAGTGCGAGTCAGCCATAATGTAATTAAATGACTTGGAATCTGACCAGAAACTTGGTTTATGACAAATCCGAAAGCCGGTCTATCCAACAGAACAACGTGTACTTGTTTATACACTTTTCCAATGCACCATTTGATGACAGGAGCAAAAAAAATGCATTTAAGCTGGTGTCTAACTTTAAACAGGAAGAGTTTCATTTAAGTCCTTTAAAATAAACAATTATTAAACCTCTCCCTCCCTTTGTTCAGACAGGGACTTGAAAAAATCGAAATATTTTGCCAGAGCTATCCTGTAACTGGATGGAAGGATTAGTTTTATTATGAAATAACTCAAAATAGCACTCCAGAGTGATATGAAGGCAGAAGTTAAATGCTCTGGTCTGAGTCCCATTCTTTCAATCACTTTCTGAATAACTTATGGGAATTTCCTTTACAGATGTCCCAAAAGCTACCAAAAAGCCTTCCTTKCAGACAGCTCTGTTTCAAGTTCACTACAGGGTTTCATAAAGTAAGAATTAATAACACAGCAAAATGTTATTGCACGTAAGTCCTGTGTGACTGCTCATGTGCAGCTCCTACAGAAAAGGTGAGGTGTGCTACATCTCAAAAAAGTTATCTCATATTTCCTTGCATTTATTGTGGGACATATCAGAGCAGAACACGCAGTCACTTCCCTGCAAGTCAAAGACCCTGGGTGAATAGTGACTGCAGCATAAGCAGCAAGGTGCCACRCGGTAAGCAAAAGCTTTACAAATATAAAAATAAAAGTATTTCTAATGTTGAACAGCCATAGCAATCTATTTAGGATATTTATGCCTCAAACAGAAGTCACATTATTTCACTAGAAGCGCCACTCAGTCAGTTCTACTCTTTCGGTGTAATCTCTTAATTGCCTCTGAGTTTTTGCCTCTTCAGTTTAAGGTGTCTCCCTGGACGACCACACCAATCAGTGCTGCTTAATTTACAACATTCCACTAGTAAGCAGTATGGATAATAATTAATTTTTAAGAGTAACTTGTTTATTCTATTCATCTCTTTGAAAGCAGGCTTTATCTTAGACAACACCTTCAAACAGTGATAAAAATAGACATTTTTATTTTCTAATCCACATGCTGAAAAGACTACTTAGCATAGGTTAAGACACAGAGCTTCCAAAATTACAGAATAGCTGAGTGCCGAAGAGAGGAAACGAACAAATACGGCACTAGCCTTCCAATAAGGTACTCAATTCTGTCTACTTAGTATAAGTTCTGTAAATATTTTCCTTTATAAAAAAATAAAAAGCAGAAGACTGCAACCCAGGCTATGTGAGAGCAGGTTTTGCACAGATGTACAATTCCATTTATCTGGCAAAGATGTAACTATGAACAGACAGGCTCCTGAGGTGTCACAGAAGCTACAAAATGTACAGTGCTTCCCTGTTTCACACAGACAATAAAGCCAAGACTTTCTTCTACATATACACGTTACACAGGAGAAACCGCCTGCACAGTTATTTGGTGTTGGGGGTTTAGGCAAAAAGGTGAGAAAATGGAGARGAATTTGCAAATTAACAATCCCATTAGAATAAACAGAAAGGTTACAGAGAGCTGTCAAATTCCACATTTATATTTACCTGGCAGAAGCACTGGTTCCAGTTTTTTTATCCTGGGCTCTGAAGCTATGTGGTCATCGGCCTGGTGGTTAAAARGAAAAACTGTTTAAGAACCACGAGTTTACAGCTGGACACAAGTCTGGCCTAGCTGGGCAAGGGAGMGTGTCTTCCTTTTAACTTCGAGGCTTGATTTCACGGGAACAGGGTCCCAGTGGGTGGGTGATTTGGGCGACCGCACCGGTACGGGGCGCACGGCAGTGTTGCATAAGCCGGGCTACACAGGCCGCGGGCCGGAGGGGCAGCTCGGCGGGGGCTGCGCGGACCGCGGACACCGACCCCGCTGCTTCCCCACGCAGGACGCTCCCGCGGCGCGAGGCCTAGCGCTCCCGCACCTTAGCCGGGGCCTTTCAACGCGCCCGCGCAGAAGCGACGTTCCTGCTGCCAGAAGCGCCGCCAGCGGCGGACGCAGCTCGCGGTTCCCATGGCGACAGCGGCCCCGCCGCCGCCCGGGGCTCCCGGTGCGCGCGCCCCGCTCCGCGCCTCTCCCGCGGCCTCCGCGCCCCGCTGCCCAAGGCCTCGCTTCCCCGCGGGCCAGCTCGGGCTTTGCGCGGAGGATGAGGAGGGTGGAGGGGCCCAGGCCGCG